TGAATGTGGTTTTGGTAATTATTTTTTCATCTATTTATAAGGTTTTAAAAAATGGTCATTAATTGTATAACTAAATTTCTAAATGATTGCTCAATTTTAAAGAATAATTGATGGATTTTAATTTATTTTTTTGTTGACTCTAATATTGTCCTGCCATTTTAATTGATGGATTGCGTAATTCTTCATTTATAAGAGGGAAGATGAAATTGGCTTTCTATTTGAAAAATAAAAAAAGAATTAGGGAGGATAACTATAAATTTAATTTAGGTCAAACTAACGCTACTATATCGGTGCGTGTAGGTCAACTGACACTAAGATTACGTTATTTATTTTTGAATTTAACTATTTATATATATCTCATTAATATTAATAAATTTTTTATGATTTGCAGGAATTATGATAAGATTGTTGGATGTAATGTTATTTGGAAAATCTTCAAATTTATTTGTTTTGTGGCATGAAATGTAATTTTTTTGGGCATTTGTTAAGTTTTATATTTTTGTTGTTTTCTATGTCACGAAAAAAATAAAAAGAAAAAAATATAAAATTAAGTTAATTTGTAAATACATTTTTTCCTGCAAAAATATATTGTTATAAAATTTAAACATTTTATAAGTACAATAAAATAAAATTCAAATGAGTAACCATCTGAATTACGCCACGTTATTATTTCAGAAGTCATTAAAATTATTTTAGTCAAAAATTAAAAATGGTGTTGATTGTAGAATAAGTGAGAATTACTTTATGTAGCACAAAATTATATGTAGCACAAAATTCATTTGGACGGGAAACAAAAATCCTATACAAAATTAAGTGAAACAACTGCCTTATATAGCTTAAAGGGCGAGAAAATGTAGGCTATCTCATTAACAAGTGTTGATACCCGTGCGATGCACGGGGTGCGATAGACATTTATTTATATCCTATTAAGTAATAATATGACATTTATTTATTTACTATTATTGTTAATTTTTATTTTTATATATTTTGTAGTTTTTGACTATTTAATATATAATTTTTATTATTTATTTGATTATAAAATATTATAAAATGTATAAGATCATATGATATTTGCATACAAATTACTTGTATGTACTGATAAAATTACCGTTTATCAAGGTCTTATAATGTTTTCAACAATTCATAATTTGCGCATTGCTTGATGACTGACCAACGTTTAACTCATAATATTTATCTTCCGGTATAATTATTAAATGCATTAAAAAAATTGATAAATAATATTTTAATTTTTAGTAACTTTAATCCTTATGCAACACATAAATTTTTATGGTGAAATATTTTATTTTTATGTTTTTATTTTTATTTATATTTATTTCTCTAATTCATTTTTTCAACCTATATAATGAGTTATATAGTATCTATTCAAATATTTAGATATATTATATATTTCCATTATTATATAAAGTACAATACTTTATATTATTATACATTGTTTTTTTATTAACTTATTTTTTCTTTATAAAATAGTATATAAGGTGAAATTGAATAGTTCTTTTTTATGTACATAGATACTTATAAGGTGAAATTTATGATTATGAATTGCACCTGACCATCAAATTTTATTTTTATTTATATATTACTTAAATTTTCAATAGCATTTTTATTTATATATCATTTATATATTATTTAAATTTTTGAATTGTATCAATAGTTACTATTAAATTAATATAAGATCATATTAAAAATATATCTAATAAATTTACGGCCAAAATTTCAATTTAAGCCAATTTGTAGTTAATGAGTAACAATCATTGAGTGTATAAAAATTAATTATATTTTTGATACATAAGATTCACTAATAAATAAATATTAATCAAATGCCAAATATAGCCGAAAAAATTTCCCGCCTAAAATCATGACAATTATGGCAATAAGGATTTGTCTATTATATAAATATAGATATAGATATAGATTGGAAATCCTACAATTATATATATAGATTTCTACGATGGCCCCGTCACCCTGCCAACTAACCTTCATATTTTATTTTTGCTAAAATAACTATTCTAAAATTATAATTTTGGTTGTCATAGTTTTAAATCATATCAAAATTGAAATGTATGATATTATACTTTTCTTGATAAAATAATAAATTGTTATATACATATATGTCAGTAAAATTGTTTGAACTCACTTAATTACTATCGTATCATTTAATCTATAAAAAATATTACAGCTTATTTAAAGAATTTGTAAGATTATGTAGTATATAATGGAAATGTGATTATGAATCTTAATTATATTGATAGTTTGTAAAATAGTGTGTACAATATTGAGATATTACATTGTATTTATGTGACATGATTGTGAAATAAAGTTAATATTATCATATAAAATTTGTAAAATGATAATTTAGTGTGATTAATTGGTTAGTTGAATCATTGGATATTGCAATTTTGTGAAGCTTTTTAGCATCTACAATGCTTTGAGTTCATTCAAAGAAATACATAGGCTACATAGGAAATAAACTTAGTCTAAAAAATCTATACTTCAATGCAAGTCCAAGTGCAAGTGGACTTAATCATGCTGATGTGACAACAAGTAAAAGAGACTCGGTGTATCCTTAAGTCTATACTAGATAAAGTAGAGACATATATAGTCTATTTGCATTAAAGTTAAGTTTATACTTTTATATTTTTTCCATGTCATCCATGACTTAGGTTTATTTACATGTCACGTAAACAAAACTAGACTCAAAACATTTTATATGACACTAGTATGTAGCTCATGCGATGCACCGGTCAATAATTATAAATTGCATGTGTTAAAGCACTGAACGGATATTTATTAGTATAAAATAGTTTTGAATATTAATATTTTTTTCTTTTATATTAGAGTATATAATAATTTAACTTATGATTTATATGTTTATTTCACCCATTATAAAATAGTTGTCATTTTAGAGTTCCTGTTTAGAATTAATGATAATGAAAGTTTAACATATTCAATCACTAATATAATACTTCTTTCCTTCCTTTACTCATATGTTATTACAATATTTCAATTCCTAAATAAGTTATTCTAAAATTGAAAATTGTGCCAAATATTATAACCAACAATTAATTGAAAAAGATTGTAATATATATTATTTTGAAGTTAAACAATTTGATATTTTTAATTACATCAATATTATTTTATTTTATTGTTTAAAATTTATAATGGTGTATTTTATAAGTATTTTAAATATTCTTTGTAATCTATTAATTTATATGACAGTTCGACACCGACTAATTTATCATTATAATTCAGAACAATATACATTATAAATAATTTTTTTATAAGCCAACAATTTATATCATTGTTCAATAGATAACTTGTTGGTTTATCAATATAATTTATAACAAATATACATTACAATTTTTTTTCGGGGAAAAAATTTTGACCAACCTGAACTTTCGCGCTTTTTTGGCTTTGCAACCTAATCTTTTAATTTTTATAAAATGCAACCCCAACTATACGATATTGATACTGTGCAACCTCAGCCACCAAAATTGGTCGGAAAGCTCCTTAAGCGGCGGAGCTGGCAACTTTTGTAAGGGTAAAATTGTAATCTTACTTTATACTTCGGTCTATAAATATAACATTCTCCTTCTGAATCCGAAAATCGAATTTTTTCCCCAATTTTTCCCCAATTCGCAAGAACCCTAACCCTAATTTTTTCCCCAAAATTTCCCCAATTTTCCCCAGAAAGTGAAACATCAAAACCCTAAATCGAAAACATAAATTAAGTGTAACAAACTTACCATAATTTGGAACGAATCTATTAGTTTAGGTAGTCGTGCGTTGCCCACGAATTTTTCAAACCACTTCACCGAATCATCAAAGATTTAGGGTTGTGAAATGGGGGAAATCGCCAATTTGGGGAACTCTGTATTTGAGATTGAAGAAATGGAGAGAAATGGTATTTTAATTGTTTTTTATGATGTAAGATTACAATTTTGCCCTCAAGCTCCGCCGTGTCGGTGGCTGAGGTTGCACAGTGTCAACATCGCATAGTTGGGGTTGTATTTTATAAAAATTAAAAGATTAGGTTGCAAAGCCAAAAAAGCGCGAAAGTTCAGGTTGGTCAAAATTTTTTTCCCTTTTTTTTCTAAGTTATAATTTAACATTGATAGTTTGATGATATTGTTTTGGCATATAATTTGTAACAACAACATTGTAAATATTTAGATTTTTTTTTTTCTAAATTATAAATTTGTATGTCAGTTTGACATAATTGACTTTTTGTTTTTATTGTGTTATTGTATTACAATTTTATCACGCATATTCAAATCATATTTTCTGCCAAAAAAAAAAAAACTATTAATAACGTTTGAAGACGTGTTGTAGAAAATCACAGCATATGGTTGGTTATCAAATGAATAAGAAATTGCAATAATTCATAATTAATATAAGGAATAAGATTTTTATTTCGATAATTATCAAAAAATAATTTTTAAATTCTATGCCACTGTATATAGAAACTAGAAAGTCATGCTACTAACCGATTTGCAACATCTTGATTTTTTTTTTCGAAAATATTAAAATAATTTTGACTATATATTATTTAATAGTAAGTCAACTATTTTTTTTTTTTTTTGGTACAAGTAAGTCAACTATTTTAATAACAAAGTTAAATTACTATTTTAAAATATTCCAACAACCTTAGATATGATATAGATTGAATATTTTATTCCAGCATTTCACAAATTGTTGAATAAATAAATAAAGCTAAAAATAAAAAATATAGATTGAATATTTTATTCCAGCATTTCACTGTTGTTGAATAAATAAAGCTAAAAATAAAAATAAATAAAATTATTAGTCAATAATAGTCCAATTTTGCAGTTTGACTTCACTTTTACAACACCACTGGAAAAAGTAAAATCCAACACTCAGTCACCTCGCTTTCTCTCTCTCTGCGCCTCCGCCATCCTCGGCGGCGTAAATCCTATTTTTCTTCCCTTCTATCGTCCATCCACCCCCACCGACCACGGCACATGGCGGCCCCTAAGGCGTCACAGCTCTCCTCCGACAAGATCTCCAACGAAGGCCCTGTACTGGCTGTGTTCAACAAGCGTCTCCGCGCCCTGCGCAAAAAACTCAATCGCATATCCCAGATGGAGGAGTCTCTCTCCAAAGGGAAAACCCTTAACAAAGAGCAGGAGGAGACCTTACGCTCGAAATCATCGGTGATCGCCACTATCAACGAGCTCGAGAAAATCCTCCAGCCCGTCTCGGAGGCCGTGGATCTCGAAATCCAACTCGCTCTGGATAAATTTAAGCAAACGGCCAAATCCTTGGCAGAGGAAAGAGAAAACGAGCTTCAGTCGGCTATTTCTGATCTGCTTGGTTTGCTTTACTTTGGCAGCTTGTTTGATATGCACACATTGATGAGGGCGTCCGAGTGCATGCTGATAAGGGCGCATGAGAGGAACTGCTGTCTCACGTACGATTGCGTCACGGATGATGATGGTGCCTCCGGTGAGTTGCTGAAAGAGTGGGATTTTGATCTGATTGCGATGATGGCAGGCTTGTTGACGTCCCGGCCGGTGACTTCAAGGTTGCCTCATAAGATCTCGCTCCAAAGGTGCGTGGAGCATGCCAAGCTATGGCTGGAAAATTCAGAGAAGCAGATCGAGCCAGATTCAGGGATCACTTGTATGAAAATTTTGTCATGCTCATTCTAAATGTGCAATTTTCAGTTATGCAAATGTGTGAATGTTTGGTCATTGGTCTGTATGCTTTATCGTTGGTGCTATTTGCTTCTCGATTCAGTATATTTCGTCTGATGCTAGGAATTTCTATTTTTAAGCCTTCAATTGCTTGCTCAGGTGATTGGAACACTTGTGAACTAAACCTTGCTGTTGATGTGGATGACCAAATCACTTGTACTGTGAAGCTTGTTGTTCTAATACATAAATATGAAAGTATATTGGTTAACGGTAATGTGTAATGTGGTTTGCAATTTTTATGTGTCAAATTGAAAAAAAGAATAGCTCTTATTGGAAGGGAATGTATGGGTAAATTTTGTTCTTTATGTTGGTACAGTACTCAATAAATTGTGTAATTTTGGTCTTTGGATCTGAACTGATCCGTTTGACTTGAAAATCTGGTTAAGATTATTTATTTATTGTCTCAAATGCCAGCATCAAAATATGTGTATGTATTTGGTACATATTAGTGAAACTTGAGTAATATAACATCGGTTTCTATATGGAAGTTGTTTATTAATTTGTTTCTGGTGTTTATGTGTACTGAAAATTTTGTTGAAGTGCTTAGTCTGAAACTCTTTGTTTATAGCGCAGTGATAATTTTTGTGTGCTTAAGAGTTTCTCTACACTGGCATGTGAGTTTTCTCATATGTTTGATTCTTTATCCCCTTAATATTATCACAGAATGTACATGTGAGAAAAGACTATTGTTTCAAGAAGTTCGAATGTACAATGAGCTATATAGTGGTTAAAAAAATCTTTGTATTTCATGGTAATTGTGTGCATAAGTTACTGTGATAGTATTCTCGTTCCATTCTGTTCTTTACTTTTTCTTGTGTGTTACTTTCTTCGTGGTATTTTCCATACGTTGTTAGAATTTCTATGTGCTTGAAAATATTGTATTGGAGTTCTCCAAAATGTTGCAGTATTTGTTTCATTCTGTAAATTTGTTTATCCTTTTCTAAATTCATGGTGCCATCTTACTCTTAGATGCCGATCTGAGACGGAAGCTGAACAAAATAATGTGTTCGGATTACTTCACCAAAAATCCAGCGATGAAGGCTCCCATTGAAATGATTCAAGCTGCTGGCAATTATCCTTTTCAGTTTCTGGTGCATAAGCCTGTGATACCTGAAGTTTTTGTCAATGCCCCAATGGAAAGTTCATCTGCAGAATTTGAACAAGAGGTAAAGTCGTGGGTAAATGGTGTGCCTTGTCTTAACGTGTTTATTCGTGATTTTTCAGATGTTGCATGCTCCCTATTAATTTATTGCACGGATAAAAATATACCATGGTGGATAGATCTTTACATAGATTGTACACATCTGTATATAGATTAAACAGGAATTACTACTTTTCTTTTTATGTTAATTTTCTAGGTCACCTGGCAGGGAAGATGGTTCTGACTTAACATTGGGTGGTGCTACCTGACCATACCTTAAGATGCTCGAGTTGGATGCTGAACTTTTAATTTACGAGCATTTTATACAATGGATTATTGAAGTTAATTTTCACATTGCGTGTTGCAAAAATTTTATGTCTCCCTTTCACTACAACAGACTCCATCTGCATCAATGTGGAAGCAGTCTATTTATGATAACTAGGTAGGGTTCCAATCTTCAAGTGCTTCATCTGGGATATTTATATATTATGCTTGCAGATCTCGTAGTTTTTCAACAGAACTTGGTTATGTATCCATGGACCTATGTTTTCTTTTTCAGCATTTGCATTCATTCACTCATGTTTGGCACTTCCCTAGATAATTGGCTGGTGTTTATAATCTATCAGCTTACCTACCTTTTACATTGAATAACTAAAAAGGCTTGCAACCTTATTCTTAACCCTGAGCCCTTTGCTCTAACCTGTATATAATATATATATATATATATGTGTGTGTGTGTGTGTGTGTGTGTGTGTGTGTTGTGTGTGTGTGTGTGTGTAGTGGAGAAAGTATTAGGGTACATGAATGGAAAAACGAAGTGTGATTGTTCAATAAAAGGTGAATCTCTAATATTCATAGTTATCGAAGGCGTGTTGGTAAAAGGCCATCGCTTATTGCCTTGATGTCTTCCTGGTGTAACTCTTTGGGAGAGGAGGGTGACTGCTAATTGTGATTTATATTGTCGACATTATTGACAATTTGCAATAATTGCCTGATAATTGATGTTGTGCTGGATATGTTTTGATATTCTTGAGGTTGATTGGGAGAAGAAATATCAGTGTATAGCATGGCCAAGGCCCAAGGCTATCCCTTTTGTTGGCTGGGTCATGACTTGCCACATATCACATTCTCAACCATCATAGTTTACCATTGAGGTGTGGCCTTATATGATCTTAATACATAATCTTTAGATTATAAAACATATGCCTTTAGATGCTACAAATATCTCTTTAAGGTTTGTATGTGCTTGAGAAATACCTTCATATTGACCGTGCAATATGTATTACAGAAATGTAGGGTGTTTGTTATTTTAGCAATATTAGGTTCCATTGTCGTGCAACTAAAACACAATGATTGTTTTTAAGAAAAAATTGACCTGGTGAAGCTATATGTGAATTTACTTCTAGACATGCAGCTCAATAGAATCTTTAGTGTACAAATTATTTGTAATCTTTTGAACTTTGCAGTAAAAAGTAAGTGTAGATAGTTGTGGAAAAATAAATTGAGCTCGAGCTCATCCGTGGTGGTGCACAAAGTACATTGTTCATTTAAAGTATGCTATTAAGCGTGAGATAGCTTTTCCATATCGGTTTGTCTATATTTAGATGCTCAAGTTTATTGCTAATGGAATTTTCATAGAATATAAAACTAGAAAAGGCAGTTGAGGGAGAAAAGTACGTATCATTCTTCTAAGTACTTAGGAACATTCTACGAATCTGTTCAATACTGTTGTTTTTTGAGGTGTGCTAACTCAATATAATTCCTTGCGAACTTACGGCAAATGAAGTTCCAATGATATAACTTAATACGTCTTCAAATGAACTTTTGTAGCAGCATATAGAAGTCCATTTTGGAATAACCACTGAACACAACTTTCTTTCTCACCTAAATGGATTTGCATTATCATCCATCTTAAATAGGTTTTCCTAACATGCTGTAAGTCATTGATGATACAAGTGACTAGGATGTTTAAGTATATATTACGACATACTTGACATAAGCAATTGTGTTTTTCTTTAGTGGTAAGTGTTATTAATCATTACGGTACCATTTGAAGCTTATACTCCTTGACATTCCACACCATAAACCATTACTTTCTTTTTTTTTATTCGTCATGAGCTTAAAGCTTATACTCTTGCTAATACGAATTGTTCTAAAGACGCCACCAATTATTGTTTAAGCGCGAGACCCTTTGACAGCGTTTGTTTTGATTAAAATTCCCATTATAAACCCTGTCTACCCATGGGCAGAACAAGATACTTATTTTGAGGGGGTCCTTTTTGTGGGATATGGATTGAATTAAATCGATAGAAATATAAATATGTAGTAATGTGCGGATATAGTAACTTTTTTACGATAACTTTAGTGGCACTGAGATACCACCTAAGACAATGAGGATATACCATTGTGCCTATTCCGTCACAAGCTCTTCTAGGCTTTAGGTGATGATTGCTTAAAATCAAGTGCTTTTCGAGCATTGCTTTTTTAATCAAGTTCCAACATTTGAAGCATATAGATGTATCTTTCTTTTCTTGTTTCTTTCTGATCTGTAAGATATTCTTCCCTAATTTGGGTAGGAGTTGACTATGGTAACTAATTGACCATGAACCGGAATTGCATTGATGATATATGAAATTACTAAGAAACGTGATATTTTATCTCAAAGCGAGAAGTTGTGCACGAAATCGCTCTTGTTGAAGCTGTTATGTACCATAAGTGGTGTGAAATTTAATGCCAAAGGGTATTTACTCACCAAACTATTTGCTGCTACTAGGTTCTTGAAGTTATTGTCCTGTACTTCTTAATTTTTCTTCCACTTATAAGTAATAACAATCTGGCTTTGTATGGCCTGGTAAATCTCAATCCATCTTCTCATTAGTATGGACACGTTTATCTAGCCTTGTCTTATTTACATCATAGACAAATAGATGTGAATAATTTAAAGTTCAATTTTCAATTGGAAAAATATTTGACGGATTATTGTTAATGAGTCATTCTTCTCTATGGAAATGTATATTATCTAAATAACTTGCTGGAATAAAATCCTAAATATCATAGCATGATAAATATTTTAGATTTTGGACAAAGACTTTCAGATTTAGTTTTACTTTTCTAGGCACTCTTTTGTATGTTGTTATACCTCATATGCTTATCCTTCGGTGAAAATGCTTTTTTTACAAGCAGATGAAATCTAAATTCTGGGATGGCTTCTCTTTATTTGCTGAGATAACAATTTCTGTTCCTTTGCATTGAAACGTAGTTTCTTCATGTTTGTTTTATTAACAGGCTTTTGACCTGGGTTGTGCAGAGAACCTTGTAATTTATTTATTAGTATAATCTCTTTCTTAATACTCTTTAATGTTTCTCCTTATTGTTTTATCCCTTTGCCTTTTCAAATATTAGTTTTGATATCAGTTTCAGTTATGGTTATGCATTAATATTTTTATTTGGTGTTCTCATCTCCATTTGTAATGACTACTAATGAAAATTCACAATTTCTAGTTAATAATTATCCCCTCAGAGCTTGATGTTGGGTTAGTCGTTATTGAGACATTGCTGTTTTCATCTGCACGATTCCTTGTAGCTTACCTGAGTATTAATTTCTTTGTCTGGTGCAATCTTCTTCAGTTTCACATTAGTCCCAGTTTTCACTTGCAGGAGTAAAAATGACTGGATTCCAGTGGCAACTAAAATCCAAGAATTTAAAACTACCCCAACTGAAGAAATTCCTCAGGTTTGTTTTTTTCTTTCTTCAAAAGAAGTTATTTCCCAGTTCGAGCTCGCAAACTTGTCTTTACTTTATTCCTCTGTATGAATAATAATTGACATAGGATTTGTTAACAGCCATGGATGGTGAAGCATCATCAGTAGGAGCGAGCAATGGGCAAGGCCAATTTTATGTTTAAACAGGTAATCTATATCAATATCATGGACCAATCCATTTCACTAAAATTAGTATATATTTTCTAGCTTAAAATTTTCTACTAAATATGAAAATATTATAAAATTTTGTTTATAAATCAATTCTAAAAGTTTGTTCAAAGGTTGTTTTTGATTCTTAAATTTATAAATTTAAAAATTGAATATAATATCGATATGAATGATATAATCAAACTATATTTCGACAATTCCCTATTCAAGATTGCATTATTTTGACATCAACGAATAATAATAGTGAGTAATCATGGTATAGTATTTAAACTCATAGAATGAAGGCTTAATTTAAGAGGTATCTGTAGCACCCCCAAAATATTCAAGTTATAATTCATGAACTTATTTTTAATATTATTATTATTAGTATTAGTAAAATCATTTTACATTATTTCAAATGTATAAAAAATTATATTCTAGCCAAATGAATAAATATAAACCTATTAAAAAGTGGGTTGGATATAATATCATTGGTACAAATTAAATTATCATACTTATTATTTAAAAACTCAAGATTGACATTTAAATAATTGAAATACAAAGTTAGACTCAAATAGCTTTACATAAAATATATTTGTAGAAGAATAATAATTATGAATTATTATAATTAATACATTCATTGAAATTTATATTCATTTTAAATTGATTAAGAGTATATGAAAATAACTTATTCTAAGTACATTAAACCTAGACAATTATTTATTAAACCCTAAAATTTACCTATTTCTCACACATTTTTATTTTATCATTATTATTAATATGACTTATTAAAGTTATTGTTATTATTATTATTATTATTATTATTATTATTATTATTATTATTATTATTATTATATTATTATTATTATTATTATTATTATTATTATTATTATTATTATTATTATTATTATTATTCAGATTAATTTAGGCAAATAATGTCAAAGTAAGTAAAGAGGACGACTTATTCAAGCTTCTTTCATTTATGCACGTTCCTCCCACCTTTCTCCAAACTCTTGCAATTAGTTACAAGTCCCTAGCCCTCTCCCCTTCCTTTATTTTTGCTACGTCCAGGTCACCACTTTCATCCCCACCATTTCACAATATACATATCGAACGACTGGAGTGTAAAAACGAAAGAATCACGGGATTATCTGTTCTATATTAAAAGTTATGTCCAAAGTTTGATCCTCGCGCAATCAGTTTTCTTTGTTAAACGTGGTCGTACCAGTCTGTATGTTCTTTGCTGTCTTGGCCCTCGTCGTCTAACCGAGCGTTTTTTATGTCTTAACATAACTTGTAGATACATATCTTATGTTTTCCTAGGCGCAAGAATCA